TCTCTTTCTCTCTTTCTCTCTTTCTCTCTTTCTCTCTTTCTCTCTTTTTCTCTTTCTCTCTTTCTATCTTTCTCTCTGTCTCTCTCTCTCTCTCTCTCGCTCTCTGATTCATGCTCGGGTCGGTTCTGTTCTCTTGTTATGTCTGTGTGAGTGGGTGTTCCGTGTCAATGCGGCTCACTGATCTCAACATCCACACAAACAGCAACGTTGAGAAAGAGTTCTTCACCTTTGAGCCCACTAACATCAAGCATTAATAAAGCACCAAAAAGAAACGGGATGAATGCAACATAACAAAGTAAAGAATTAACAAAAGCAACAAAGGAAGGGCCAAAAGCCAAAAGTTCGCAGGCTTTCTGCAAGATTGACGCTTCAAGGCTCTCGCCTCGCTTCAAAGCTTGAATCTTCGAGACTGGAGACTTTAGATTGACAAGGAAGCCACGGAAACGAAATCTTATTTCGTTGAAAAAGGATCCTTGGAGAAGCGGAGAAGCGTATTAACGCACTGCAAGAGTGGATTGGTGGTGGCTGGGATGTGGACTTCCTTTCAGCCGACCCTGTGAGTGTGTGCATGTGGAAAATATTTGTTTCTGATCTTTTCTGTGTGTGCGCGCAGTGTGTTGTCTTCCTTGCTGCTGAAGCCCTCTACGTTTATATACAGATATACATATATACATATTATATATATATATATTGTGCCTTACATTCAAGTTGTGCTCATCAAACCATTTTTTAAGGGAGATATTACCTCACCAGCCACAAAAACAATTGGCACTCTTCTCTGAGCGCGGGCATGCCTGGCCGAAGACCGTGAAGATGTAGGTGTCGAGTGGTTCTAAAGCAAAAGGTTGCACCTTTGCGGGGCGCAGCAGAACATTGCAGAACTACTCACAGAGATCAACCTCAGAGGTGCTGGCATATAATGACCGCGACTGCACTCCAGAGAATTTCGACTGATCGATTCCACTTCCAAACCTTAGCATCCAGGAAGCCATCGTCAACACAACATGCTCAAAACAATCCCAGAGGAGCAAACGTATAGTTGCAGCCCAGAATGCTTCCCTGCCTTGGGGGATTTCCAGCTGCGGCAGTGTTCATCAGTTTAGTTTGGAGTCATGTTGCATGTCAGCAACCTGGGCCCATCACACCAACACGGCCTCGGTCCTAAGTAGTCAGCTGACAACACCTACCTTTTCAAGTGTTTTGCATAACTTCAAGTGGAGTTGATGAAACATGTGAAGTGGCACAGGCCTTTTGCATACTGTCCAGCGGTAGCCCACGCTGCCATTGCCCAAGTTTTCTGAACACCTCGTGGTGTCGTGGATAGGGGCAAACTCTCCAGCCTGTTCCCAGTAAAGAATCCTAGTACATACTGGCTGCTATGGTCAATCTCAGAGCCCCACCCCTGCATGACAATCTCAGACACAAGGCTGAATGGATTTTCCACCTGCAGTAGACACAGCTTGACTGCAGAAATTATTTGTCGCATGAAATCATATGAAATCCAGCGTTTTTACATGTCAAAACATGCCTTGATCTCTCGAGAGTACGAGCCAAAGATTTCCTTACAGTGCAGCTTCAAAAAGCTTTGCCACCGTCACCACCCTCCAATGAAAAGCAACTGGTGCCACTTGTGCTGTTTAAGAAAACGTCCTTCACGGCCTTCACGTTTGTAAGGCTTTAGCCATTGGTGGAACTGGGGCAGATGAAACCATGACACCTTGGCAATGATGATTTGCTTCTTTGGGAATGCCTTTTGTTTATTGCACACCTTGAATGCAAGGAATTCGGCTGTGCAATAAGGGCGTGTCTAAAGTAGGCGGTGTCAGTCAAAGAGGGGTTCCAGTAAGACTGCACCTGGCATGGCGGAAGTTGTCCCATGCACATAAGGACCTAGACTTCTGAGGCTGCTGCGGTCAATGAGAAGTTGTACCTCCAAGGCGCTCAAGGCTGTGGAAGTGTGTATAAATAAGGGGGAGAGAGAGAGAGAGATTGATCATTCAAGAGGCGGGGCACAGCGTCTCTGCTTGCATCAAAAACTGCGGGATTCTCAAGACTTGAGCTGCAACCTGGCAAAGCAGGAAGCACCAGCAACTTCAAGTATATAACTGACTATGCTTCACTGTCTCCTTGCTTGGGGTTGAGGGACTGCCTTTTTTGTCATCAATTTACTCGTCAAGTGCTGAATGTGCCACAACCACGTGAGAAACTGCAATCAATCTCAACCAGAGTGCATATGACATACCTCTAGTTTTGCCTTAAGCATCGGTCTACAGGACATACTGTAAAGTAAGTTCGTTGCACTCGAAGCTCCAACAGCTCCAACATTCTCCCTGTTGAAGGCAATCCAAAAGCTCCAAGAGCTCGGCTGGAAGGGCTGCCAACATTTCATCATCAATCACCTTCTGCAGCTGGCGGATGTGGGGCTCTGGCCTCGATGCCACAGCGATCTGAATTACTACGTTGCATCACATACGCTTACAACATGCTACAATCCCGTGCCGCTGATCTCAAAAACTGAGAAAGCTCAGGCGGGCTGCTTCACCGGGTTTGTCGAGCTCAGTGCCCACGTAAAGGTACCCCGATAACCTCACGTTCACCAAGCATTCCAGGTTCCATGTGAAAACATGTGAAGACCCACACATGCACAACGGAAAAGTGTCGCAAAAGGTGCTCACCGTGATTGCGCGACTGCGTGCCATCCAGGGTCAGGTCTGTACACCTCAGCAGGGGAGCTGCTCCTCACCGCCAGTCTAGCTGAACCAACCAAATGTGGATACAAAATCGGCCCTAGCAGTACCAGCATGTTATGTTCCCTGGTGTTGCTGCAACCCTTGAAACTAGATCGTCAAGTTGTGCAGTGCTGGTCTTGGATACAAACACGTCAATGTAGCGCATGCCACCAATTTCAGCCTCGCACATTGCAGTACATGACGCATATCTCCATTATGAGGGAGTCACGGATCTGACAGGAATTGACTCTGTGTCTTCCGTTGCATGCAATGGTAAGCAAGAAACGACTGGGGTTGGAATTTCCAGCGGTGGCTCAACCTGCACAAAACATGGCAAGAAGCTGGATGGTTTAACCAAATGCAGGCTCTTCTTTTGATCTATATATCAAAAACTGTCTGCCATCTTCTTTGCTTCGTTGATTGCACGACTCTACCAGCAGCTTGGAGTGCAGCGATGGCGAAGTCCGATGATGGCTGGGAAAATTGATACGCCTCAAAAGTTCAAAATCTGGAAAGGAGACATATGAATCTACGTGTACTGTAAATTATAGATAAATGTATATATACTATATATATATATATGTGTGTGTGTGCGTGTGTGTGTATGTGTGCATTTGTTTATGCACGAACTCCAGCGGAGGCTTCTCAAACTAGCACAAAAGACTGGGACGCGAGCTCCAGATGGAAGCTGCTCACCCCTGTAAACCTTGCGAATTGGGTGTGCCATTGATGGGTTAGACGAGGTGTGTTGACATCCTTGGGAAGCTGCAGTTCCTGGTTTGAGGCGTGCCAAGTCTCCTGGGGCAATGGTTGACCTGAACTGCTGGCTGTTGCATTCTACCAGGTGGTTATTATACAGAAAGAAGAAATAGCAAAGTGAAACAAACGCAAACCTGAAAATATCACTTGGACCCCCGGCGACTGGTCAATTTCAATGTAAAAGTCTGCGTCGCTCGTCCATTGGCACCTCCGGAAAACAGAAAGCTTTGGTCCAGGATAAGTCTAGTTGTGACAGCGCAGAACACCAAAAAAAATACAGTAAGCCCCTGAAGCTTGGTGAAGGGCATGCTTCCCGGGATGAGCGTCATGGTGAATTGGTCGATAAAGTCCTCACATGGTGCCCGGGTGGCCTTGCAGCAGCACCCTCAAGTTCTCTCGATTCATGTCCAGCGTTCAGCCTATCCAGTGATCCTCTACTCAGACATTGCTATGCGTTACTATGTGTGTATATATATATGCGTGTGTGTGTACATCAATTGTCTTGTATCTTGTTGGTATCTTGATGCCTATGTCGTCCCACAGTGCGTGACAGACTGTGAGCATCTGTGAGCCTTGTCAGCTTCATTGAAGGAGTCAGGAATGTCATCCGCGTTTGTATCAATTGGGGCTGCGCCACCTCAATGCACAAGGCAGCGCTACACTGTCACAAATCGGCTTCGCCCGGGCTGAAGCAGGCCACGTTTCGAGAATCGTCTTTCCTACTCATCTAAGTTTCTCACGGAGGGTTGCTGCATCAAAGGACAAGAAAAGCTTCGTTCCAGCTGCATTGAATCTGGCACCATGCGTGGCGAAACACTTTTTCTCAAAATCGGTCCAACCAAGCTTGGACGGGAAACACGTCAAGTCTTTTCAACTAATCCCATGTGCGCAGCAGTGCAACCCAAAGGCGGGAAAGGCAAATATCGTAAACCCATGTGCCAATGCTATTGAAAAAGAAGAATCTGCATGGATTAGAATTCGATAATCAGATTTCAGGACCCTGCATCCGCGTATTGTTTCTGTAGTAGAGAGGCAGACAGTCATGCTGGGCACTCCGCACCCTCACCGCAAATTGAAAGGCTGCTTGCCTGATTCTCCTATGGCCACCACCCCCATCACAGCGCCCCAATTTTGTGGAAAAGCCCACAGCACGGAACAGTTTGTGGCGCTTGGCACCCTGCCCTGCCCCTATTCACTGAGCGTCTCAACACTAAAGAGAAGGTAGGTGGCATGGGAACATTTACAGTACCTGGGATAGTTTTTTCTTCGTTGTTCATTTCAGGGCTTGCAGGGGTCACAACTAAACGTTGCTTTTTGACAATCTGTTCAGGTTCCAAAGGAGTTGGACAAGGCTGCAGGTCATTCAAAGAAAAGGACTGGTCACACACCAACCTGAAAGTCAATACACTACATCGGGCACCATGCATGCGGGAAGTCAAAGAAACCACTGACTTCAAATAAACCGTGAGCACACGTTACTTACAACCGTGGATTGTACATCCGTGAGTCGCATGGACGCACCTTCCAAACTCTCTATAAGAAACACAGCACTTGAGTGAGTAGGGGGTGAACGATAGTGACAAAAGGTGTTTTCTTGAGTAAAACAAGAGCAGCAGCGGCAGCGGCAGCGGCAGCAGGAGGAGCAGCAGGACGACCAGCAGCAAGAGCAGCGGCAAGCTGAATGCACGTGATGAAGAAATGAGGACGAGGGGCGTCACCGGCCGATCTTCTGACACAAGGGAAGAGATCACAGGACCAGGTCTTCCCAAAGCCAATGTTGAGGAGGTTCGTCATGGTTCGTCATCGAGTCATCATGCATTCCTGCATTCCTGTTTGATAGTGGCATCGTGCTCTCATTCCCGATGGGATCCTTGGGTGGGTCCCTCAACAAGAAACTTCGCACATCAGAAAAATGCATAGCGAAACGTGTACCGTGTGCAGCTGGGGAAGTTGAAGCAAGAGCAAACCATCAATATATTAAGAAAATGCTGAGGAGACTTTCCAAAAGAACCGCTTGAGCTGGGGCGCAACTGATCAAAACTCGAGTTCCGCAACAGGCCAAACCTGTGTGTTCCTCAAGCCTGTGCCAATTTCAATGCTGCCATAGGCGAGCCATGACGAGCTTAAGCTTGAGAGGATTTCTGAGAAGGTTGTCCCTGTTCTGGTGTCACGGCTCCGGCATTTCGCTGCTCAACAAGTGCTTCACAACCACTAGCCCCATTGAGACAGTGGCAGTTAACTGTGTTTTCTGTGTGCTGCGTGGCTTGACGATTCCAGTTCTTCCTCGCTTCAAAGTGCCCAGTCATCAGTCTGCAGTGTTTCCTCTATCGTTGCATGGCTTCAGTCCAAGGCTCCAAGTTCAAGGCTTCCAGACTTGCAGCACTGGCAACATGTCTTCAAGATTGATTCAAGTTTGATGGCTTGGGGAGGGCCCATGCGAATGGCGCTCTGGCGCTGCAAGAGGGCTTTTGTCGCTGTTGGCGTGGTGTGGCGCCGTGGCACTGTGGGGGGGTCTTGCGAAAGGATCTCGCACAAGGGCGTCTTGTGATGTGAGATGATGAGAGCAGTAGTCTTACGCACAGGGGTTGGGAGATTCTGTATAAGCCCTAAACCCTGAATAAATTCTTATTGTTACTAGTAGTAAGGCACTTGCTTCTAATAGTTTTTTGTTACTACTAGTAAGGCACCTGTTACTACTAGCGTGGCACTTGTTCCTACTAGCGTGGCCCTAAAAGTGAAATTGACCGTTTTCATACGAGGCATCCCACAGCTTCGCAGCGTTCTCACAGCTTCCCGCAGCTTCGCCGCTGCGGGCGTATTTTCCGACCCTCCCTCCCTGTGCAATGGTTTCTCGGTTTCTAGACCGTGGGTTCCCAATCAGCGCTGGACACGCAAACTGACGCCCAACAGCTGCCCTGTATACCAGTTGGAGTCAAAGGAAACCCGACGAACAGAGAATATTGCCGACACAGTACAAGGCATTGGGCTGCGCCCTGATACAGTCTCAACATGTCTCAACTATATATATGCAGGATGAAGACTCTCCTCTTTTGCGGTGGCCTTGCATAGAGCAGACTTGGAGGAAACAGGGCAAAGAAAATCCTGGCGTAAGACCAGCGTCCAGTGCAATATGCTGCAGTATACACCTTGTGTGCTTCAGTCCTAGGAGCTGTTTGGATGAGCGATGAGAAAACTGCATTCTCAGGCAAACTGTCCTCCAAATGGCGGCCCATTCTTCAAGCTGCAACAACCACAACTAACTCTGCACTTCAACAATAACGTATATACCAAAATCTGACCGGATACCACAAGAAAACTCCTGTGGCCAAATCACGTAGTCTTTACCTGAGCTATTGTACATTCCAGCCAGCAAGGCATCTGCGCTATTCTGCGTGCCCATATCTAACCACGTGGCTATCTTGGTGGTACTCCAGAATTCGTGGACGACCTGTCGCATCCTCCTTGTACGTAAACCACGCCTGAAGGGCTTGCCAGATTCTCGACATACACTGCCACTGACCCAAGCACACTGGCAATGCTCAAATATACAAGAGACTCAAGAGACCAATTTCCACCGTGATGTGTGGCCGTCTTGGACAATTGCGTAGTTGTTCTGGTGGTCGATTGCAGCCGACTGCAAGTACAGGTAGTTGACCTACAAGTGTGTCTCTAAATCGAGAATTGTCGACACTGGGTCACACTTAGAACAAGCGTTTGCTTGAAGAAACGTCTTTCAGAACGCATACTGGGCTTGCGCATCCCTTTGCCTCTGTAGGCAGCTCCCCAAGCTCTGCCAACGTGCAACCTGACACAGCTCCGTTTCAAGCAATTCTAAATTCAATCTGTATAGTCTTGTTTCTGGCAACACTGGTGACATTTATAGTTAATTATATATGTCTTGGGAAAGTGGTCCGAAAGTCTCCTCGAGAAAACCTGCTCTAGAACCTTGTCGATAACCTCTTGAACCTCTTTCGTAACTTGGTGCTCCAAGGTCTTCCGCGCCTACGGAAATCTGTCTGGTTGTAATGCCGTTCACCGTCTGAGTCAGATTAGTTGAGGTGCCTCGGCAGTGCAAGTTGGCCAAAGGCGATAGCAAGGGCTTGGCAGGATGTAGAATCCTTTCTAAGGCTCTGGCAGAGGTGGTAGTAGGCATACTGTCCAGTCAAATCAGCACCTGAATGAATATGTATATACTGTGTATATATATATATATGTGTGTGTGTGTGTGCGCAAAGCATTTTAGCTTCTTTACAGCAAAGGCAAAACAAATAAAACCGGTTGCATTTGTCATGCCAACGCCAACGAGGCCAAAGACGCCTGCTCCATAGAGCTCGTGATTTAACGAGTTGATCTGAATGTTCACGAGGGTTACTGGCAGCGTGACACCTCGGCGAGTGTCATGATGGCCAACCAAGGCCGCTGCATTCGCATGGTGCGCACACTTTTTCTCAGCCACCCTGGCATTATGGGTCCCTCTTGGCTGCGAGCTGGTCAGCACGCGCTTCATGTCAATATCAACAGCTAGAATCACATGAACTACCTGCGGGCTGAAGAGCATCAAGGCTATCAAAGCCATCTGCAATGATGAGTTGTCGCAGTGTCTGCACAAACATGTCCACAGCCTGCGTGGACCCGCTCACTGTTGCAGGAACAACCTGTCAAGTCTGCCATCAAGTCCAGACTCAACGCGTGCTGCGAGTGACTCAGGTAGTTGCCGTGTAGTAGGTGCCGAAGAGCACATCCACGGTACCAAGGCCCTCTGCAGAAGCCTACAGGGTTGGCACAACTCGGACAAGTCAATTCCAAAACAGTCCATTCCACCGGACTCAAGTCACTCAAGTAGTCTATAGACTAGACTATACAGTAGATATGCTGACAATGTGGCATCTGGCCCAAATACCGGGAGGTGGGATACTAGCGGATTGGATTGGCAAAATCAGACACACCATGTGTGCAATTTGGTGGTTGCGATTCGGAATGCCATCAAAGGAGAATTCCGCAAACAAGGTCAATGGAACATTATTTGTCCCTACTGGGAGTTGGGTGGGAGAACCCCTCCGCCGCCAAGGAAAGCAAGAGACTAAATTGTCCATGATAGACGGACAACAAATAAATGGGCAGGCAAAACAGTTCAATTTGGAAAGCACACTCAATGAAGTGGGTGGATGATGATCGATAGGCACGGGCGGCAACAAAAGGTCAAAATCAAAATCAATAGTTTAGTTTTGGTGAGTAATCCCATGGGTTGTCCATGGTCATTTTCCTCGATCAGCTTGCACGGATGGCTATATTGCGGCTCTATATATATATATATAGGGTGTACCATATATATATATATATCCCCCCCCCAAAAAAAAAAAAAAAAAAAAAACAAAGTCATAGTTCACTGATATGTACAGTAGAAATTGCATGCTTGGGGCACCATGTTTTCTTAGTAAAAAATAAGGGTTGTGAATATACATTAAACACATATTTTATAAAAAGTTCACATATGTTTGTAAATTATAAAATTCTAAAAAAATAGATTGCATACTCAGCCCCCACCGCAGCCTTAACCTGAGATTAAAATGAATCATATGAATAGAATATTAAACTAAACTAAATAGAAATATATAAAATAGTCTCCATACGCAATAAAGTAGGCACACTTGTGTTTTCTTGTTTTTTTGTGATTCCAGGTTGCATAGACCAAAGCAAAAACCAAAAAAGACTTGTGTTGTTTTTGTTTTTTTGATGAATGAAACCCAAAAAAACAAAAAACACTCAATGAAAACCAAAAAAACATCTTTCAGGCTGAAACCAAAGATTCTCCTCAGAGTTTTGTTTTTTTGTTTTTTGGTTTTGATGTTGTTTTGGGTTTGGCTCTAAGTTCGACTTACTACTATCACCGCAGCCTTTTTGTCCAACACAGAGTTGTGGACTTGTTGAAACAAATCATAGAGAGCTTACCTAACAAGAGGGTGTACAGTAGATGAACTTCTACGGGACACAGACGGGGACGTGAGTGAAAAAGGACAACAACGACTCTGACCTGTGGCCACGGTGTTGGGCTGAATGTCTCACAGAAAGAGTGAAGTACTGTTTGATGTGATGTTACTGACTGACTGACTGACTGACTGGAATGACTTGATTGGACTGTCGGACTGTTTGAAGTGCCTGACTGATTTCCTCTAACTGATTTTCTCGAAGGTTGTTGTTCTGTTTCATTCTTTTGCACACAAATGGGTGGGAAGTGGGAACATTCAAAATAAGCATACGGGTTGAGAGTCCTTGGACACAAAAATTGGATCAACAATAGATTAAGAACTAGTTGGAGATGGAGTAGGAATGAGGTGACCTGACCAAAAACATCGGCAACAAAATGCAGTAGAATGAGCAACATTCTGTGTATTGTGAATTGTGAACGGAACAAAACCTTAAATCAAAAGAACAAATATATCTTAGTGAGCTGGCCAAATCCCATGTGTTGTGAGTCAGTTGTGAGTTGACTAAGTCCTGAAATTAGAAAGCCATAGATTTGTATTGACCGATGTTATGTGTGGTGTGAGCTGAGCTGACCTAATATTTAATTGCAAACAGTAGCACATAAGACATAAGGAGGTTGAAATTGAAATGAAAAGTTTTGGCGTTGTGAGCTGTAGTGTTGTGAGCTTACCAAATCCTTAAATTACATTACAAAGAAGGAATTGAAACTTGTGCATATTGTCAAGTTGTGAAGTTGTGAGCTGACAAAATTCATAACTTCATAAATCATAACTTTAAAACGTGATGTGAGTTGTGAGCTGACCAAATCATCGTCTAAAACAGTTTAACTAATACTATTTTTGGAAGGAGTAATCTTGTGTAGTAAGCTGACCTTGACCAAATCCTAGAAACAATAGCTTAAGGAATTGAATGATATGGAAAAAATGCTGCGATGATGGCCAAGTCCTTAGACTTTTAAATTGGATTTGGAATGAGAAATCCTTTGTTGTAAGAGGACCAAATACTTCATTGTGTTTAAACAAATAAGGATTTACATCTTGTGTAGTAAGCTGACCAAAAACTTAAACTAGAAGAAACGCATTAACTTAAGGACTTAAGGTGTTGGAAAAAAGAAATTGTGTGTCGTGAGATGACAAATTCCATAAACTTTTCTCCACAAGATAAGGATTTGACATGTAAAATAGTGCGTTGTGGGATGAACAGTTCATCCCTATACAATAAGGATGTGGAATGAAACAAATACTTTAAACTACCTTAATTTGCAAATTTTGCAAATAGAATCCTTTTTGTATGGCTCAGAGCATTCTCTAAAGGTTACTGATGTTTTTCTCTTAATTTTTTCTTCTTCAAGGCCACAAAAACCTTTCAACCTTCTGGCGCAACATTCTGCTTATCTGCAAAGCTGTCATCTCTACATCAAGGTTTAAACATGTTAACCATATGGTACAACACAAGACTTTCCTGAAAACTTCCCAATCAAGTGGTGCAAGGTGGGTTTTTGGGGGGGCCTAGCATATATATATAGTATCTTAGTGTATAACTAAAATAGGTGATTTCAAATCAGCAAAACTGGACAAATCAGATGGGGGTGGGATTGCAGGCGGCTGGCTAACTTGAACCAGAATCGTCGGGCGTGCTTTTTGACATGAACTGCTTGCTCCTACGCAAGCATGTGCTTGGGAGTAAAGGCTTGGCAGTTCGTCACAGTCATGGTCCAACGGGCAGTTCATTGCACACCACTCTTGTGCCTCAATGAGTAGATTTGAAGCACCATAGAATTGTGAATCGGGCTCGACGACTTGGCTCTTGGCTTGGCAAGAAGTAAGCAAGGTGAAGTAGTCAGGCTATGCCAGGCAGAAAAGAAACTGCTTCAGTTCATGGGGAATTTGTGTTGGCAGCAAGGATGGTTGAGTGACATATATATATATTATAAATATATGTATACACACACCATATAATTATATATCTACATATAATATATATAACAACTCAAGCAGCGTTCCATCTTTTCTCCATCAAAGGTGTTGCAC